AGAGGACCATGAGAGACTGCACTGATGCAGAGACGTTGACCAGTCGCACCACATGTAATTTCCTCAAGGGTTGGCCAAGTGAAACCTCTGCAGCCTGTTCTAAACTTTTCTTACTAGGTCAATGTACAAAGAAGGGGGAGTGCAGGACCAGCATGTGGGACAGAGATGCTGAGGACAACCTTGGGCCAGAATGTGACTTAACAGGAGTGGAGATTTGTAGAGACAAGAGAATAAAGCTTGGGGATAACATTAATGATATGAGTTTGCCTTCCACCCTGGATTTAGAAAACATGAGTTGTAATGGCACACCAAAAACTGCCTGTAGTGACAAAGGCAAAACATGGATGTCTGATGGCAGTCAGTCATGTCTCCAACTTGTATCTAATAGCTGCAGCACTATTGGCTTAAATGCGACAGAATGTGTCCACAAGAAAAGTTGTGGTCAGATAGTCGATGCCAGAAACACTGATGCAGGACAGATGTCACCAGAGCTGCTCTCTCAGAAGATCAAGGTGGAAACAGATGAGTTGGAGTCATTCACCTGCCAGAGAGTGAGACCCTATTTCAGAAAAATTAATTTTTCCTGTGCACGCGCATACATGCCCTGGCCTTTCTCTAACAGCAGCGTCAACAGAACCTGTCTGGCACAGCCTAGAGATAACTATGACTCTCCAATAAACCAAAATCAGTCATGTTCACTGAGCTGCCTGTCCAATGATATGCTCCCAAATGCACCTAGAGACCCCTCTTCAGACTCAGCTGGGAAGGTTTCTCATCAAAGTGAAGAGAACCAAGAGGAAGATGGAGAAAGCATTTTAGCCAAGAGAAATAGGAAAAGAAATGGTAATATGTCTTCATGCTCTTCACACAGCAAAAACATGAAAGCTGAAGAATCAGCAGCCAGTGTACTCTCAGTTACAGCCGGCCTTCTCACCCCAAGGCAGCGTAGAAGAGAGTCTGACAGTGTCTCGGCCTCATCTACGCCAGCTAATGAACCACAAGCAGACAGCTCCATGTCTACCCCTTCCCCATCAAGCCTTTGCAAGAATAACTGGGAAACGACCTCTACTTTGTCTCCCACATCATCTCCATTCACACATGATGGGTTGAGCAGCTTCTCAGTGACACCATCCTCTAGAACACCTTTGTTGTTTTTACTGAACAAAGTGAGTGGTGTTGATTTGGCTGATGCTCATTCTACAGGCACACCACCAATGTCCTCTCCACCTAAATGTATTGTCCAAGCTGTAGAAGAACCGTTATTCCACTCTGAAGAAACCCTAATGACTCCATGTAGTTCTTTATCCACTTCTTCACCTGCTCCTCCACACAGCTTAGGCTCCTTTCATTCATGCGAATCTTCCCTCCTCCTCCCTCAAGAGGAGCAAGAGAGCGATGAAGAACGGAGCCCACCAAAACTGGAGCCATATTATGATACAAACCTCTTTAACTGTGACCATACTGTTGTTTTTGGAAAAGAGTGTTCATCACCGCACAACATTCCCAAGGAGCAGTGTGTAGAACCAAACTCAAATGACTTTATGCTTTTACCACTGCTTTCTCCTGTCACCTCCCCACGAGGACACTCGTTGATAGGCTCTCTGCCCAAAAGCCAAGGCTGTTCAGACGAGGAGCAAATAAACAAAGACCTCAGCAAACACAAGATACTACCTGGACAGGACATGTCGCAAATTGGTAATGACAGTCGTCAAAACTGTGAGGAGTATCTTCTTGACCACCAACAATGTGGAGGACACTGTAATGAAGAAGTGAAGGGCATCTCATCAAAATGTAAAACTCTGTCTTCTCCCACCAGTGTTGGAGATGTGAATGATGATAATGAAGAAGAAAGCCATGATTGTGGAGATGATGGGGAACAGGGTAAAGGAAGTACTGTTCCCTTACATGATGAAATAAAGTTGGCCCTGACCTCAGGTGCTCTGACAGCATCTTGCTCTC